TGTGGGTTCAAACATGTCATTTGAATCGGGGTGGGTGGGGGGTGGATGCCCGAATGGTTAGCATGTGTGCGCTGTATCATAAGGTCTGTCACTGAGTCAACAGGCATTGTTTTGATTCTCCGGTTGTACGTGCCAAGGAGTAGGGTCACCTGTCCAACCTCGTGGGTTTTCTCCGGGTCCTTTGGATTCCTCCCACGGCTAAAGACCCCTATGTGCAAGCGAATTATTGAAATAAAATTAAACCATATGTTAGTCCTGAAATGACCTAGTTTGTTGAATCCAACTAGTTCAATATAACAATGTCTCTATCTGTGAAAACAAATGGAATGGGGTTTAACGTCCTACTGTTCTGCCCTGAACTGGGCTAATGAGGACGGGCATATGCCATACAGTGTGCTATGAGGGAAATTTTGCCTGGACAGCGGCACTACGGCTTACTTTTACATCAAATTTCGAAGAAATCTTTTACGTGCATGTCAATGTGTACACAGGACCTCAGTTTTCCGTCCCATCTGAACGACTAGACAGCTGACCTTGTCAGGCCCTCCGTCCTGCATCACTGACAAGGGAGAACCGCGCCGGAAAATCTGGATGAACTTTCTAGGCCAATGCAGGGATCTAACACCCGACTTTCAGGCTAGCGACCCAGCGTCGCACACACTTAGCCACCGTGACCCCCTCTATTTGTGTATCTGGTAGATAGATACATGTATATACACACAAGTAAAATGTTAAAACCCCTGTAGAAATATACATAGTTATATCATGAACCTTATCATAAACTCCATGGTTATATATAACGTTTCTATTTATAACAATTAGGTGCAGAAAAGTAATAGAGTTTAAACTAAACCCCGAGTTCATTCAATGTGATCTATTTATAATGCTTTCGATCCATAACACTATATGACTAGTCCAGTGAATATTTTACTTTTTTACATTTGATTAGCAGTTTCCAGAAAAATTGTGTAAGAATGCTAATCAATTGTATAATTGAGTAGCAAAATTTACCAATTGATTAGCAGTTTTTTAGTATGTTATAGAATTCTTATTTCACATAATTATGTGACAATAATAACAATACCCATATTATTTGTATTACCAAACTGTTGTTTATATTTATATATAAAATAAAAAGTATGTGAATGTTTTATGTTATTCTTTGTAGGAAACCTGGACATTCTTTTTTTACTTAGCCAGAACTTTTCTGGGTCATATTTCCTCACCCAATCTTGAACTGTTGCTAATTTTAATGTCGAATTTGAAGACAGAACATTATCATGTGTTTGACTTGCCATCTTGAATTTCGCAACGTACCCTCTGTCATCCGGTAATTTTATCTTGTAGTGTTTTGAATGTCTGTCTTGACGACTGTGACTACCACAGATATAGAAAGTATGTAGTGTTGTAGCAAGTAATTTGTAATCTCTATCATCAAAACCTTTTACGTCTATAAATAGCAGACAACAACATGTACTGCTCTCGTTCCACTGGACCGTTGCAGAGGCACGTAAAGAGTCTTGATGATATAGACAATAAAATTGCGAGATTTGAGATTTGTTTTGATGTGTTTTACGATACTGAATGGTTTTAAAGTTAAAATTAATTTTCAAAACTTTGATTCGCGCTGAAGCAGGGTTTTAGGCTAATAATGCTAATCAAATATGAATTTGATTCGCAAAATCGGACGTTTGAGTCTCAAATTGCGATACGAACCCGGTTAAAATATTCCCTGGACTAGTCACAGTCTTAAAGGGGTATTATGTAAGAACTAAATCTGTCTATTGCAGGGCTTTTTTTAGACCTCAAATGTTATCTAAATTATTAATTATACATTAAAGATACATTATTGGAGATTAGATAAAGAGCTGGCAGTTCTCACTATCATATCTAAAAACTAGATAATGTAAAGGGAATTTGCTGAAAATTTCAGTCAAATTGAAAAACCCTGAACCAAGTATTTAGCGATTGAAGTTTGGGCCTAAGTCTGTACGATTAAATTCATAGTCTCGATTATCCATTTCTTGATTTAATCATGAACATCGTAGGCTAATGATGACAACGAGATTTGATTATGGTCTTTTCATGTTAATAAAGGTCTAATTAGTAGTTTATACATGTATAACATTTACGACCTAAAGAAAGACCTGCAATTGACAGATTTACCTCTTGCTTATAAACCTGTAACGGTACAATGTAAATCTCTTTGATCTTTGGGGTATATTCTATACCCAGAATAACTTGCGGTCTGAAAGTCAGGGGCGGCTTTGGATATATACAGGGAGATTTGGGGTTATTCTTCTGAAAGTATTTCTTTAAACCTGTAACGGGTTATTCTTCCAGGGTAGGGTTGTTTTTTTCCATAAGAAAACATGATGTAAGGTTTTTCTTGTGGGAATTCTGGGATATTCTCATCTTGTGTACATGTAAACAGACGGTTTATAAGCAAGATAAAGTCCTCTACTTCGGTTATGCTGGGGAAGAAAGACTTCAGAAAAAACCCTCGTCAGAAAAACCTCTGCCTACCGGCCTCGGTTTTTCTTTTTCTCAGGTTATTTTCTTCAGTCTTTCTTTCCCCAGCATAACCCCAGTCTCATGATTTATCTTACACATAAATACTTGACTTGATCGTATAGAACACTTAAAGGACTAGTGACAGTCAATTATTTTTTTGAATTATAAGCTATTCTCTCACAGTCTCATATATAACAACTTTTGGTCTTCGAAGGAAGTATTAGTGAGCAGAAATTCACCCGTGTATCTTTCCCCAGCATAACCCCAGTCTCATGCTTTATCCTACACATAATGTATGTTTAAGGAAGTGAAAACAAATGCAAATGGACCTGTTTGAATGTTGTAAATCTTTTTGAAACTTTGACATTTTACATAAATGAAACCCACAAGTTATATAATAGGAATTCAAATTGGAACAAGTTTTGCGTAATCTGAATCTTTATTATAGGCTATATATAATAAACCACATGATTTAGTTCCTTTAAAGCTGTATTATGTAAGAGTTATATCTGTCTATTGCAGGTCTATCATAAGGCCTGTCATTGAGTCAACTGGCGTGGTTTCAAATTCCCAGTTGTAAGTGACAAGGAGTAGGGTCGCCTGTCCAGCCTCGTGGGTTTTCTCCGGGTCCTCCGGTTTACTCCCACTGCTAAAGACCCCCACGCGCAAGCGAATTATTGAAATAAAATTAAACCATATGTCCCGAAATGACCTAGTTTGTGTCGAGTGGACATTAAACCCCATGTCTGTCTGTCTGTCTCTCTCTCTCTCTCTCTCTCTCTCTCTCTCTCTGTCTCTCTGTCTCTCTCTTTTACAGGTCCTTAATCTGGCTTCAAAGCTGTATTATGTAAGAGTTGAATCTATCTATTGCAAGTCTTTATTCTGGCTTCAAATCTTATATAAATTATTATAGGCTACCCAGTACATATTAAAACACATGTTTTAGTTTCTTTGTGTTATGTAAGAGTTAATTCTATCTATAGCAGGTTTTTATTCTGGCTTCAAATCTTATAGAAAATTATTATCTAGACATTTAGTTACAGGACAAGCCCATAATCAACTCTCGCTCTAGGTCATACATGTATATCAAACGAGTTAGAACACCTGCGTCATTTAATAATTTAATGTTGAAATGGATAATCAAGACTTTTTTTATTATTGTACCAATGTACTTTCCTCAGAATAAAGTAATTTGACTGAAATTTTCAATATATTCATTTTTTTATTATAATTATAGCAGGAACAGCCAGCTCTATCTAAATCTTAAATAATGTATCTTCACTTTAAACAAATTATGAATCTAAATATTGTTTTCTCGATATAGTTTTTTGGGGTCATGAGTATATACAAGTAGATATTCTACGTCATCTATTGTGATGGAAAATTGAATCCTGTATCATTTAACGGTAACTCTTTTGTTCAGGAGTATAATTACAAGTAAGGAATATATACGTCATTTATTGTCATTGAAAAATTAGACGTTATCATTTAAATCCTGTATCATTTAAATCCTGTATCATTTAGTGGTAAATCTTTGTAAATACTGTAAAGAATTGAACAATTTTTGCACTAATACTCGTTTAGAGCAGGCCCGAGTTCAGAAAGCATTCTCAGACTTAAGTTAAGAATTTACTCAAAATTTTTCTCCTTATCTTAACTAAAATATAGCCCTTTATAAAACTTTTGTTGTTTTAATGTATCTAACACATCAATAAGAAACTATGTGCAAAGTTTTGTGTTTCTGGATGAAAAATATTCCATTTAAACAATGATTAAAAATGAAGTAAATTCTCAACTTAAGTCTGAGAATGCTTTGTGAACTTGGGGCCTGGAGTGTCAAACATCCGGGCCGCCAAGGGTTTAAATGTGACCCATGGGGCGTGGAACAAATTTCAACAAACTGACATGTTGATAATTCTTAGAAACTAGCGGTGGAAATCGTTTATTTTTTTCCCGTTTCAGTAAAACTCTGACTTCTGTATTATATGTCATATCTAAGTTGTATGTAATACAAGAGAATGTTGTGTTCAATATTATACCTTGGCAATTTAGAAACCAGTCTAAAAAAATTACCTGTGTCAAGGACTTTTGGCTTTGTTTTAAGAATTCAGTATAAAATTTCATATCAATTACATTCTGTGAAATATGTAAACAGTTCAAATCTAACGACATGCGTTACGCCTGCTTAGCCTACTCTACACGTTTTTTTTATTAATAATTTGTCGTTTCTGAATCAGCCATTCTTCAGCATTGTCTCGTAGGATATGTTTTTCTTTGTTTATTACAAATGGCGACCAATAATTATATCGGTAAAATACACGATTCTTGTAGTGTTTTTAAATGTTCTAGTGTCTGAAATAGTTGATATTAGGATGTTCTAGTGTCTGAAATAGTTGATATTAGGATGTTCTAGTGTCTGAAATAGTTGATATGTAAGGATAATACTGGGCTAATGGTTTAGTTCCTTTAAAATAAGTTTTACTTACCAGCTCATTACAAGTCTGACAGACGGCATCGTTAATAAATTATCAGGTAATAAACTAATCTCTTTCATTATATTGGCCAGACGGACAGGTAACTCTTTACGCAGGAAATGGAATGACGCCTCTTGACAACCATTTTTACTTCCTGGAAAATACAAATGTCTGAAACTATAATATTCGAAAGTCCCATCCGAACGACTAGGGGAAGCCACGTTGGAAAATCTCAATGAACTTTCTCTGCCTACACTGGGAGCTACAAAAGTAATCAAAAGATGATGGTGATAGGTGAATGATCATGAAAGGAGAGAGAGAGAGACTAACACATGGTTCAATTTTATTTCAATAATTCGCTTGCTCGTAGGGGTCTTTAGCAGTGGGAGGAAACCAGAGGTCCCGGAGAAAACCCACGCGGTTAGACAGGCGACCCTACTCCTTGCCACATACAACCATGGAGTCGAAACCTTATGATACAGCCAGCATGTGCTAACCATTCAGCCATCCAAACACCCTACAATACAAAAATAGTCACAAGATCTAGAATAACCTTAACGATTTTCAGCTACCTTTCTTAATGATACATTATTCAAGAGTTATTAATTAGACATTTATTAACATGACAAGACCATAATCAACTCTCAATGGCATCTGATGGGTCCGATCTGCTAATAATCGAGACTTTGTTTATTATCATAGCAAGGGTAACAATGATAATCAAGGCTACACTGTTAGCGAAATGAGAATTTCTTCACTCAGAAATTTTCAGCACATTCCCTTTACATTGTCTATTTTTTTTTAACTATTATAGCCAGAACTGGTGGACAAATGGGTGGGTCCTTTAGTTTCTGTTTTAATATCTTAAGTTAGTGATGACTGCTAAGTGTATTTGAAGAGCTATCAAAGATAATGTTGATTAATTTGTTATCAAGTTTATCAGAGTTTTATTCTCATATCAAACCAAAACCAAAGATAGTCTAATAAATACAATATAGATTATTATTATTATTACAGATAATTAAAATCATGTAGGATAAAAACATGATATACTATGGCCATTTGCATCTTCCCCAGTTTACTGTATCAGAAAACCTTCCATATTTTCTCATATCTAAATGTTTGAAAACTCCACTTCTTACGTGTTACTATGGGCAGTCTACGGAGGAAATCTCTAGTAAACTGAGGCGTTTGGTTTACTGCATCAGAAAACCTTCTACATGTTCTCATATATGTTTGAAAACTCCACTTGTTACATTAGGCCTAGTTCACAACCCGCTGTGTGTGCTACTATGGACAGTCTACGGGGGAAATCTCTAGTAAACCAAGGCATGAGACTTACACGTACGTCACTTGCATGTGATTGGCACAGTAGAAGACTGCAACATACTAATTTTTCACCCAATTTCTTGAGGCTGATCTGTGAGTTACCAAACCCTATGGCCCATGTATGTCAAAAGGTAGCACCTCATTTCGGTGCCGCGTCAGTTCGGACTCAACACAAACGTCATTTCAGACTCAGTTTGACGACCTTTCGGACTTACTTGGCGACTTTTCGGACTCGGTATGGTTTCGATTCCCATGGTTTCGATTCCCCGGTTGTACGTGACAAGGAGTAGGGTGGCCTGTCCAACCTCGTGGGTTTTCTCCCGGTCCTCTGGTTTCCTCCCACTAACCAGTGGAGGTTAAATCCCATATCTCTCTCTTTCTCTCTCTCTCTCTCTCTCTCTCTCTTCAGACTGACATGAGCTTTATTATCCCTTTTAGCACTTACTTACCCTTTGTTCCAAACTCCAGAAGTTGTCGTAATGACAGAGGAGATGGATTAAAGCTAGCATATTTCTCGAAGGACGTTGATGATATTTTTCTTATTAGCTGTCGTCTGAAGTGTGGTTTAAAGGCACTAGAGTTCGTAAAGCCAGTCTTAAAAAATAGTTTTAACACATGATTCATCTTGAGTCTTAGATTCTGATTAGAAAATAAACTTAGATTGGATTTATATACCCGTATATGAAAATGTCGCGCACTTTATTTTGTCAACATTAGTTGATAATAACAAAATCACCCACAACTCTACGTATGAAACAATTTTTTCTTTTAATTCACAAAAATCTTGTTTTGGGTATTAGATTCTTCTGGTATACTGATATATAAGTGTAGCACAGCTGTGTTTCATCAACGTAAGTTCATAATACCTAAATCAATTCAGCATCCACAACTCTACTCACAGTCAGAAGAAACGATTTTTCTTTTAATTCACAAAATCTTGTTTGGGTATTAGATTCTTCTGGTATACTTATATATCGGAGGTACATGTATAAATGTTGTACAGCTGTGTTTTAAAATAACTAAATCTATTCAGCCCCCACAACTTTACTCAGTCAGATGAAACAATTTTTTTTTTTTAATTCATAAAAATCTTGTACTTATATCTGATGTATAAATGTTGCACAACTTCTTTTATCAACATTAGGCTTACTTCACAATAATTCAGCCCACAGAACGATTTTCCTTTATTCACAAAATTCTGGTTTGAAAGACGAATATTCACAAAATAAATGTATGTTCATGTAAGTTTAAGTGTCCAGTCCAGTAATCAATGCCACACAACTAAACGAGAATCTATTACAATCAGATGAAAACGATTTTCTTTTGATTTTTTAAAATTCTTGTTTGACAGACAAATGTTTAATACCCACACATCTGTAAATATTTCAACTTTTGATTTTTTAAAATTCTTGTTTAACAGACAAATGTTTAATACCCACACATCTGTAAATATTTCAACTAACAGTTCAAAAACACCAGCAAAAAGTTTCTATCTCGATTCACTATAAAAATAAAAGAAATATGTTTTCCAGTATACAAATATCAATTGATAAAATTGCCAGTCATTGAAAGGTCATGAACTTTTTTCAAGAAACTACCTATGGAATGACCCAAACTGGGTGATTTAATACTTAACACTAACTATAAATGAAAGTACTGTTACATAATAATATTAATGTCTTTGTTTCATTTAAACAATGGCAGTAATTGACTAATTAAATGGATCCAGGCAATTTCACATCAAATCCATTAATGTCAATAAGTTATAGCTCCTAGTTAATCCAAGGGAACAATTACTCACAGATACCTTCACATTAAATCCAGTGATGAAAGAGTAATAACCAAACGCAATGAAACACCAATTACCACTGGATAATTAGCACAGAGAACAAAAGACACCTTCACATCAAAGAAGCGATAGCAAATAGAACTCAGGGACCTTCACATCAAATCCATGAATGACAGTAGCATTAATACAATGAAATAATAAGCACAGAGAACTCAAGACACCTTCACATCAAAAACAAAGAAGCGATAGTAAATAGAACTCGGGGACCTTCACATCAAATACATGAATGACAGCAGCTTTAATACAACGAAACAATTAGCACAGAGAACTCAAGACACTTTTTAAAAAAAAGTGTTAGCAAATAGAACTCATTCCACCTTCACATCAAATCCATTAGAAATCAGTCGACCTTCACATCAAATCCATCAATGATCTTATTCATTGAAAAAATTTATATCAAAGAGAACGCAATAGATACCCTCACCTGAAAGTCATGAATAATACTAGAAACGATTAGACCAGGAGCATCTTTACACCTGCACATCAAAAACCTGTTTGTGACTTATTGTTATAGACCTTGTATACATATATATATATGTTGTTTACTAATTAGCACTGACTAAAAATACACACAAACAAAGGAGATCTACAATGTTTCACATGTAACTCTACACCATAGAAAACATTGTTTTTCTATCCCCATAAAGAAGCATGTTGTTGTCAAATTGTGACTGTACCCTACAAGAACGATTACCTATCTTTTTAAAGACTATGAACACATGTTATTCCAATTGAACTAGATTCTATGTTTACACAGGGTTTCACAACTGCTTCTACTCAGGGTGATATTGCAGACATAGAGGAGAAATGAAATGAAATGAAATGGAGTTTAACATCCTACTGTTCTGCTTCTAACCTGGGCTAATGAAGACGGGCATACGCCATACAGTGTGCTATGAGGGAAATTTTGCCCGGACATAGAGGAGAGAGAGAGAGAGAGAGAGAGAGAAATGGGGTTTAACATCCACTCGACACAAACTAGGTCATTTTGGGACTAACGTATGGTTTAATTTTATTTCAATAATTCGCTTGCGCGTAGGGTTCTTTAGCAGTGGGAGGAAAGCGGAGGACCGGAAAAAACCCACGAGGCTGGACAGGCGACCCTACTCCTTGTCACGTACAACCGGGGAATCGAAACCGCGCCATTTGACACAATGACAGACTTTATGATACAGCGTGCACACGCTAACCATTCAACGATCCAACCCCCAGTAGGAAGAAATATAAAAGTTTTTTTAACATACTGAACTAAATACTGCTGAGTGATATAAGATAAGCCTAGACAAGTTAAACCTACTGGTAGCTAATCTATCAGAGGATCTATGTTATATTGTTGAACGAAATAAACATAGTATGTTGATTACTTCAAGTGCATGTGTATTACCGTATTTAATTTAGAGTAACCTTACTAATAAATATACATAATTATTTGGTATAATTTCATCCTGCATTCTGTAACTGAATTCAAAATTTCATCATTTTATGTATCATAACCTAATAATAATTCCATTTGCCATATGTCTAGAAATTAATACTCGTTCCAACAAAGTTAAAATATCAAATAACTAGTTCAATAGTGCCTGAAAATTGTTTTAGATTTTAATGTAAACTCATTAACGATAGGCCTACTATGTATCTACAAGTACAAATAATCCCAAGTAGAAGACGATAAAACCTCACATACGATAGGAAAAGAGGGGCGGAAGAGTCCCCATAACAGTGCAGGCAAGTTTGGATCTCAGTGATGCATCCGAGAAAAAACAAGAACCAATCCTTGTAAATAAATCATAGTAAAAAATCCCCGGTAAAAAACTTGACAAGACTGTGTGGATATAAAAAGGATTTTTCCAGGACACGTTTCGGGCGTTCGCCCTTTTTACTATGATGTATCTACAAACATACAAGAATATTGTAAATGTGTGCTTAAATTATGTAACGCAAAGATGCATTTAAAATGTAAGATTTAGAAAAGAGCTGATAATTCCCACTATAATAGTTAAAAACTAGATCATGAAAAAGAAATATCTTGAATATTTCGAAACTAGTGGAGTCCTGATTGTCATTGTTACTAATACTATTGTTACGATAGTAAACAAAGTCTCAGTTATCCATCTTTTAATTAAATCATTAACTGCCAGTTAAAACAGTTGAAAATCTAGAGCATCCGCCGATGACATCGAGAGTTGATTATGGTATGGATAAGTTTATTAATGTCTAATTAATAATTCATACATTTAAGGCCTAAAGAAAGACCTGCAATAGGCAGATTTAGCTCTTGACTAAAGCACGTTTAAATTATGTAAATTAATTGATAAATCGTGTATTTAACCAAGTAGAAAATATAAAGCGGAATATATAAATGATGATGTAAATTTTCCATTGTTTTTTTTTAAATTTTATTCCTTTGAGGAAAACATTAAAATTTCTGTCTGTTTTGAAATATTTTCCTTATTTACATCCCTGTATCTACTATCAAATCATGTAGGCCTAGCAACCACTAATCATGTAGGCCTACCAACCAACTACTAATCATGAAGGCCTACCAACCACTAATCATGTAGGCCTACCAACCACTTATCATAAAGGCCTAGCAAAGGCCTACCAACCACTAATCTGTAGGCCTACCAACCACTCATCATGAAGGTCTACCAACCCCTAATCATAAAGACCTACCAATCACAAATCATGAAGGCCTACCAACCACTTATCATGAAGGCCTACCAACCACTAATCATGTAGGCATACCAATCAACCACTAATCATGAAGGCCTACCAACCACTAATCTGTAGGCCTACCAACCACTTATCATGAAGGTCTACCTACCACTAATCATATAGGCTTACCAACCAACCACTAATCATGCAGGCCTACCAACCACTAATCATGTAGGCCTAAACTTGGGATTTTGATGACTATTTAATTTCAGATTTGTAATGAAAAAGCTCTCTCAAAATTTTGATTAAGACAGTGGTAAGATATTTTGTCTGGTGAATTTTTGCCACTACAATTTTTGTACTTTTTTTGCAACTTTGTATTTAGGCCACCCTGAGAGTCAAACTCAAAGGGTATTTCTAGATCTGTAACATCCATGTAGTGTACAATATTTTGAAACAGTTTTATTATAAGAAATCTTGTTTATATTTAATGAAATGGAAGGCCATCCGTGACATGCGAGGCTTATCAATGTCTACTTTCAGTTTCATCTTTTTTGGGAGAATATGGAATAAAATAGATTAGACTTTGGACTTCTTCCATTCCAAGATGCATTTTCTTTCCTAATCAAGAACCCCGATCTAAGTGGATCCTATGAAACTTTGCCTAAAACAAACGAAACGACAGTGGCAACTAGACAACTGAGGTTAGAAGTAATGATAAAGTTAGGACAAAAATGATTAATTGAATTCTACTGCCTATTACTAACGGCAGTGGCTATTTGCCACATGTGGTAAGCAAGAATGTCAAAATAGCCCTGCGGCTACAGACCACAATTATTAACCGATTTCAATGAAACTTACAGATTATAATAACATTAATAATATCTCAAAATAGCCAAACTTTCGGCCACTTCCGGTTAGCGGTTTCCGAGATATCAGGTTACCACACATTTTATGTGGCACGGCTACAGACCACAATTATCAACCGATTTCAATGAAACGTACAGCTTATAATAACATTAATGATATCTCAAACTAGCCAAAATTTCGGCCACTTCCGGTTAGCGGTTTCCGAGATATCAGGTTACCACACATTTCATGTGGCACGGCTACAGACCACAATTATCAACTGATTTTAATGAAACTTACAGATTATTATAACATTAGTAATATCTCAAACTAGCCAAAATTTCGGCCACTTCCGGTTAGCTGTTTCGGAGATATCAGGCTACCACACAATTCATGTGGCACGGCTACAGACCACAATTATCAACCGATTTCAATGAAACTTACAGATTATAATAACATTAATAATATCTCAGCATAGCCAAAATTTCGGCCACTTCCGGTTAGCGGTTTCGGAGATATCAGGTTACCACACAATTCATGTGGCACGGCTACAGACCACAATTATCAACCGATTTCAATGAAACTTACAGATTATAATAACATTATTAATATCTCAAAATAGCCAAAATTTCGGCCACTTCCGGTTAGCGGTTTCCGAGATATCAGGTTACCACACATTTCATGTGGCACGGCTACAGACCCCAATTATCAACCGATTTCAATGAAACTTGCAGATTATAATAACATTAATAATATCTCAAACTAGCCAAAATTTCGGCCACTTCCGGTTAGCGGTTTCGGAGATATCAGGTTACCACACAATTCATGTGGCACGGCTACAGACCACAATTATCAACCGATTTCAATGAAACTTACAGATTATAATAAGAGTCTTAATATCTCAAACTAGCCAAAATTTCGGCCACTTCCGGTTAGCGGTTTCCCAGATATCAGGTTACCACATATTTCATGTGGCACGGCTACAGACCACAATTATCAACCGAGTTCAATGAAACTTACAGATTATAATAACATTAATAATATCTCAAACTAGCCAAAATTTCGGCCCCTTCCGGTTAGCGGTTTCTGAGATATCAGGTTACCACACATTTCATGTGGCACGGCTACAGACCACAATTATCAACCGAT